GCGCCTCTTTCAAGATTGGGGAACGGGGACCGATCTGGTCGGGGCCCGGTGCCTTGCGACTGCACATGCTTGAGATAGTTTGTATGATTTCTTGGATAGTGTAGTGTGTGAGTATTGTGTTGTTGCTTTCCTCTGCATTTTTCACGTCGTCGTCTGTTTGCGAGGTGTTGTTCGTGAACTTTCTTCGAGCATATCTGCGAAGAATTCCGCCTTAGTTTGGTTGGAGGAAAGGTAAGTTTGTTTTCTTTCCGCATTGTCAGGTCCTCGAATGGCTGTGTTTGGTACGGACCTCAGGTCCTTTTGAAGTTTTTTTTTGTGCTCCGGCCCTGAGGGCCTGCCGCTTTATAGCACCCGAGCCCGCAGACCGAGTCTCTTCCCGCGTAAACTTGCCCGGGTGATTACCAAAAAAGGGGGAAAACTTCCCGCGCTCGTTCTGGTCCGTGGGCGGTCCGTCCGCCGCTGCTGCCCTGCAACGTGGCGGTGCTTTCCGGTACCTCCCATAGCTGAGAGCGCTGTCCTGCCGGTCGGCGCCAGTGCGCCACCGGCCTTTCCCACTGCCTCTCAGTTATGGAGCGTTGCCGTGGCCCCCTTTCTTTGCTATGCCATGGCAATACCATAGCAATATGAGTATTTTTTGTAATTTGGAAACAAACATAGACGTCATATCCGAATTTACTGCACTTCATGAACGTAAAATTAATGGTAATTATCGTCAGTTCGATGTTAAAATGTAACGCTGTAATGTTCGATGTAAGTTCGAATTTATGGAGTCTTTCATATTTCTTCGTTTCTTACATTCAAGCTATTATTATTCGGTTTAAAATTAATATTTTGAAATTATTTAAAACTTATGTAAACTTGTGTCTTTTAATTGAGTAAAAGGGAAAACGAATAGATATATCTTTGCTTAATAATATATAATGAAGATTAATGCAAGTAAATCCTAGTAATTTTAATGCAAATAAAAACATATTTAATAATTATATTTTTCTATCCATTTTCATGTGGGCAAGACTTCCAGATACCGCCAACTTTTAAATCGTACGTCTGGATGGTGATCGTAGGCGGTTGTCGAATGACTTGCGCTATTCTCTTTATAATTTTAAATTGTATTATTTTTTAATTTAATTCATGTATTAATTCATGTAGCTAGCGCGTTTTAATTTTTGTTCATTTATTTCAAGAAATTTTAGTTCTTTGCGTCGTGTCATAGCAAAAGTTTTCTCCTTCTACCCCTGCGTACCCGTGCGAGAACTCTCGCATGTTAAACCCCACACTCTTCCCTATTCTTCTATTTCCATTCTAAAAGGAAACGTTAACGAAACGAATTTATTTGTTTAAACATGTATAAAGGTAATTTCCAATGTACTAAAACAATATCGAATAAAAATAAAAAACAATGCAATTGATGTGAGAAAGAAATTTTCACTAAATATTTATTCAATATTATCCAGAGATTTCTTGGGACAATTCACAACACGCCCTCAAAAATGTTTGAAGTAATTATTCAATATTTTTTGACACTTCGCTTTTTGTGGTAATCACAAACATTTTGAAAAAGCTTTAACTCTAGAGAAAACTACGTGACAGAACGCGCTGACTTGAAAGTTTCACCGAAACATTGCTGATAACGAAAAGACTAGTAGAGGTAAAACAAACCAAACCTAACAAAACATGTCTGCACACATCACTCTGCGCCCTATCTATCCACAATTAGGTACACTTGCAGAACTCGGCCCAACATGAATGTTTTCACTACACGCATAACAATCTTCGTCGGTATCAAGCAACTATTAAATGTACTTATAGTTGTTGCTGCGAGAGCGAATCTTGAATTAAAGATTATGCAAATAATAAACTTTCTTTTCGCCAGTCTGCGCAAACCACGGTGAACACAGAGAGCCTAAATAGTATGAGATTATGGAATCTAAGTCTTCTAAGTGTGACGTCACAAAGATGGCCACCATAACCAAGGGTTGAAATTTAGGTGGCATTGGTAATATCGATAGGTGCCGAACCAGTAAAATTGTTAATAGAATGTCCAAGAATATGTCATCCTATAAAGTACGGTGTGGGGAACGTTTCTTTGCGGACTTTGGTTTCAAAATTTTAGTTTTTAAGTCCCTAAAACGCTTCGTATAGGATTTATTTAACGATATATCTGACTGAGTGATGCGGGTTGCATTTGACATGAATATTTAGATGTGTTTTTAAAACAAATCTGATAAGGGTGCAAAAAAGGGCGACCTGGTATCTGCGGTCCGAGGCTCGACCGCCGGACTATCGGTTCATGGCAAGCGCGGAGTCAGTCATGACGTTATGCCACCCCTCCAGGAAAGGCCGAGCAACTGAACGCTCAGCCCTTCTTGCAAAAGACGTCGAAGTGTTCGAACGTGTGCCGAGAGCGAGGCCTTTTTTTTTATCTAAATTAGGTCGGCAAAAATACATTTTTACTAAAATAGGCAGGAACAAGCAGGAACTGGCACGGATATATCATGTGCAGATAGCCCGGTGTCTATTGTTAATAACACGCCGTTTGATATTTAACTTACGGTGTCGGTTCTTTACGATATTCTATACGTAAATAGCGTTTTAGCAACTTTCCCATGTACCGAATTGAAGTCTAAGCGTAGAGAATTGTTTCTAATAGGGACAAATGGTATTTATTACTCGAATGTGAAAATATTAGTTTTATTTTGGGGGGGGGCTCGAAATTGCTTTTTTTATGGTACGTAAGAAGGCAGAAAACATTCCAATATTTTTTAGTGTACAAAATTGTTTTCAAGCTAGCGCCCTGGCCCTCCAAAACCCCCTCTATTACTCATAAACAAATCCAGGAAAGTTACATAATATTGCAAAGAATATGGTTGTACGTGCCCGATCCTGTATTTTTGTATGGTAAACTTAACTTGGCTTTCTCAAAAGTAAAAACCTTTTCAAATAGTTTTGTGAATATCAATGAAAGTGAAAAGCTAACTGTCAAGGAACTTCAAACGTTTTTAAAGAAGTGTGAATTGTTCGAATGTATCAATCTCTATATTACTGAATAAACCTTTATTGAAAGTTTGTTTCCAATGTCAATTGCGTTGTTTTTAGTTTTGTTTAATATTGTGTAAGTACGTAGTTACGTTTATACATTCGTAACAAATAAGCACGTTTCTTAATGGAAAGAAGAGGGAGAGGGTAGGGATTAACTAGCGAGAGTTCTCGCACGGGTACTCTAGTCTTAAGTTTTCAAAAAATGCATGTTGGAAATGGTGGGCGAGATCGATTTTAAGCGTCAACCCAAGTTGGCATATCGAAGCAGCTGCCTGTTGAAGAGATGATGCAATCTACGAGTTAACGCGATAGATCCTGAGTCATTTAGATTGAATCTTTTACAGTTATTGTAACACGAAATCTGTTTGTGTGCCCGGAAGATACTGACAAATGCCAGTGCATGATGATTCGATTTCCAATTGGGAGAATATGTTACAGGTGCCGTTCCTTATTTGGAATTTCCCTCCATATCTTCAGTGGGAAAAAGTTATTATCTTCGACCCTCCTACACGAGCTAGAAGTCTGTGACACATAATTTGAGACACTGTGTAACATTTATTCCGAGAAATAAGTGAATGTTTTGTTATTTTTCAATACATAATTGTAGAAGTAAGTATTCATTCTCTTTATTCCAGCTCGAAAGAATGGAATTCATATTTTTTGTTGACGAATCACCAGAACCAATGATTCTTGAATGTTATTCATTCACTTTCACTTACGGTGATGAACACGTATTGATTAGCTGCGATTCGACAAAAGAGAGGTATTTAATTAAAGATAAATGTATGTATTTACTTGAATATTTAACATTACTACTTCATGATAACTATCTACATTTTCAGTCAAGCAGCAAAAAAGTTTAAATTAGATGAAATTCGTTCTGCAACTGTGCAACTCTTAAGACTCACGACAATGCTAATGCAAAATATGCGAAAAGCTACTGAAAATTTGTCAATGAAAGTGAGATTGTATTATTACGATGAAGGTATATGCAATTTATTTAAAATATATTAATATAGGGTTTCATACGAAGTTCAATTATGCATATCTGACTATTTTTTTAGTTACTCCAGAAGACTATGAACCACCTGGTTTCCAAAGAGCTCCAGTGGCAGAATATGTATTTGAACCTAACAGTAGTAAACTTAGACATGGGACAGTAGATACTGGGTTTCACAGAGTTAAACTCAGTTCACGTATTGGACCTTCGAGGTTTCAAGAGAAAAACGAAATATCAAATGATGCGGTAAGTAAGATTACAGAGAACATATTTTTCCAAAAAGAATTCCCATGATTAACACTCTTAATTCATGTAGTCTATTTCCGACGAAATTACAGAATTTTACGCAACAAGATTTTTTTGTTAAAATGCACCACTTTCTTAAACTAAATGTTATTAATTGACCTTATTGTTAATATGAATGTTTATATTGATATTATTTAGTTCGAAGTCAGTGTCCTAGGTACATTGAGACCGTCGAAGGCTTACTTCCAACCAGATATTTGGTTGAAGTGAGCATTATCCACTCATAAAAAATTCTCAAATTCAACTTTCCCCGAAAAAAGAATCATTCGCAGGGATGTTTAGAATCCTTTTTAAGTGATGAGATAAATTTCATCCTTTCCAAATTTTCTCGGAGCAGCTTAATTTGTTTAACGTCTCTTTATTACTTTTAGGAAATGAAATTGTTCAAGATTGTCTTTGTCGCAAAAGTACACAACTCCTACTAATAATCGCAATCTACGAAACTAGTATAGGAAGTGAGTATTTGGCGTACGAATGTAGTGTTGGCCAACGCGGAGCTGAGTAGTTTTGTACGGCCATGGCTTCTTAGTAGTGCGCGAACAGAAAAGTAACACTTCACAGTGAATTTACTATGAAGTATTACTAACCCTACACGCTTTCCGTGGAGACACGTACTAGCTTCAATGCGCAAGTTATGAAAAGAAAAAGAAATCAACTTCACGTTCTTATACTTGACTTCCATGTAATTTGGACAAGAGAAAACGAACCATTGGGAATGATAAAAAATCATATTTAGGGACTTTCATTATCTGACATTAAACAGGTTTTAATAAAAAAATTCCTTGTTAATATAACACAATTATCATATTATCAGTTATTTTGTATAATTTGCATTTACAAATATATACAGTTTGGATGGAAATGAAAAATATCTTTCAAATTCAAGGGGGGATGAGGTGATGAAAATCACACCAATTAAAAAAAATAATTTATGTTTCAAACATATTTACAAATGCCTCTTTAATCGAAGGACAGTTGTTAGTCGATGTAACCTTTGAACAAATCAGATATTTCCAATTTTGGCAATGTGGATTCTTAAATACAGTAAAATCACACAATTTACAAAATCAATTATGAACTTGCAAAAATTATGAACATTTATTCATGTATTCATTGCAGCAGGAAACTCTTCAGAGGAAAATATCGGACAAGACTTCGCCGGCAGAAACAATGGAGTGTCACTCAAGTCCACAATCATCCCCAAAAGATTTGTGCTCGGATACTACAGCGGTTGCCTCAGAGAAGAGCGGTCAGATGGAAGTGGAAATGGAAAATCGTCTTAGCCCGTCGCAAGGAGGTAATGTTCACTCTCTAACATACGTGCAAAGAACTGTCTGAAATTGCATCTGTGAGTTAACATTACTGCTCGTTAGATTTAGCATCTACGAGCCTCATACAAACCCTTTTTACAAAATTATCTGTATAAAAGGCAATGTACAATGTTCTGAAAGAAAGAGTAGTTTTTGCGTAATTTGCCCTCGACATTTACAAAAAAATTTCAAAAACCGTTCCAAATTGTTTCTTTAAATTTTCTGCAGATATCTAATAAGGAACGTTAAAAAAGTTAGTGCTAGTCTCATTTTGAGCTATCTAATACCAAAGCCTGCTGCCTAAATCACTTTATTCGCTTTTGTTTTATTTCAGGTTCAGGTGGTTTTAACAAAGATACTCCAACAGATGTTCAAAATGCCAGTGTCCATTGTGCATGTGGCATCTCAGAAGACGAAGGGCTTCTTATTTTTTGTGAAATTTGCCGACGTTGGAATCACGCAGTACGGTCAAAACAAGTTTACAAGACGTTACGCATGTTTTTGTTACAATATAATTGCTTATTTTTTAATCCAAGTTATTTCGTCCTTATTTTACTATTGCAGCCCTGTAATATTCCATTAATAAACATTTATGCTTGGGTTTCAGGTCTGCTACAGATATATTAATGAAAAATCAGTCCCAACAAGTTTTTGTTGCATTTTCTGCCATGGTTCCGTTTCTGACGCATTTTGCAACGATGAATCATTGTTAAGTCTTTCTGAACAGGAAAGAAAGGTACGATGTTACAAGGAAGCAGATCTCAGAATACGTTTACCATCTCATCATAAATATATCATATCCCACTTTCCTCTCAAAACATCTACAGAAACAAAACATTAACAGAAAAACATTATATATTATGCTTACCACTACTATTTGCGGTATTGCTTTCTTGATTTTTTTCATTTCTTCACATTAGAGATAGAGAGTTGGTACATATATCATTAAATTGAAAATTATTATTATTATTATTATTATTATTATTATTATTATTATTATTATTATTATTATTATTATTATTATTATTATTTTATTATATTTTCCCCTATAGATGATTTGTTTGTACCGTCGTGCTCTGGCTTTCTGCCTTTCGACGTGGCGTGTGGATCAGAAGATACTGTCCAGTGAACTGTCCATTCCACCTGAAATTGCGGATGACTTGCTAATGCGAATGGAATTAGATCAAGTATTCTCCAACAAAAGAAAAAGAGGAAAAGGGTACGTACTTTTATGTAGCTAAAATGAAGTACTATGCATGCATGTGTGTGTGTGTGTGTGTGTATGTGTGTGTCTTAGGGCCGAATTCATAACCGTCACTTATAGGACAAGCGAACCCTTAAGTGATAAGTGCTTACTCGAAACAAGTGTTCACTTATAGGCGCTTGTATTTCATAAACGTTTCTTACGACCGCGGAATGAGTGTCTTAAGCCGAAGGGAAATGTGACAACATGGCATTGGCGGCAGCTGTTTCGAAGTTTTGGGCAACCAAGTTTACTCACGCACTTCATCTTGTGGAAAGAGTGTCCAATATAACAGGGGCCGAACACTCCAACGTCGAGTTGACGTCGCGCGCTGCGACCACTTGCCTCTCTCATTTGTTGTATTTATAATATAACGTGTACTTAACATCAGTTTCAATTGATTCCACAACGTTAATTTATGCTCTAGTATAACTAATATAAATGATATGAACACAAACCTGCCAATATTGGTAATGGATTTTTAACATATCATGTAATAAAAATGTCAACCCGGTATATAGTATTAACATAAATTCCATTTTACAACAATTTAAATTACTTCACTTGTTATTCATATTGAAAATTCATAATTACATATAAAAGGTCGTATAAATCAATAATGAATAAAAGTTAAAAAATTTGGAAACATGCCTGAAAGGGTGAAGTTGCATAAAATCTTACTACAAGGAGAACTTTTAATAAGGGGGAAATCGGCAGGCCTCTTTCAGTTATTGGGACTTCGTCAATCATCGGCACAAGTGTATGCAGTACGGTAGTTCTATTAAAACGAAACCGCTTTCGGAATTGTTCATTATTGTACATTTCCAATGGGTTGCTCATATCTTTAATATATCTCTTTGAATTTTGCAGGAAGTGTTGAGTATAAAACTCAAAATAATCTTGGAAGTCGTTTTCCATAACGTTTCACAAATGGAACGTTTTAACTGGCTACACTGTACGAACATCAGCAAAGCGAATTCAATAGTCTGTGAGCGCCGCGAAAAAGTATAACCTAAACTGGTTACGACTGACGATGCGAGGGAGCCATAAGGGACACTTAAGGGAGTAGGCTGCCTCCCTTATAGGAATGAGTGCTCACTCAAGACTTCACTTAAGGGCTGTTTGATTTTGATTTTGGGGGTACGTTACTTAAATCCTAAACATTTTCAAAATTTTCCGGCGCACGATTTCAAAACTTCCTCTTTTTACGTTAGTAAGTACGAGAAAGTAAAAACAACACTCTTTTGGTAACTGAAGACCCCACGTGCACCCTGAAACGTGTATTGTGTGCTAAATCGATAAACTCCAGCATTTCATACATACCTTTCTAAATACGTTTGTTACTCCATACGTTACGAGAGAGTACAATTTATCAATATATATAAATAAATACGAAGGTTGCCTTTTATGTTTCGAGATTTGGCAACCCAGGTGTTGCAATCTGCCAACTGACAGCTCTATCGTAAAGTTGGATGTTTTGAGGTTATACTTACTCAGAACGTTTTGACATATGAGCGCTATTTGTGTGGTTTACAGTAACTGAAAAGATTTATCTTGGCCTAAAAATGGAATTAAATCGTGAACATTTTCGTGCGATTATTTTTTTACAATTTTCGACGTGAATTAACTCAGCAACAGTGCATGGATGAACTTAATTCAATATTTTCGATGAAGCTCCATCAAGGACCAGTGTTTATCGATGGTATGGTGAATTCAATCGGGGTCGTAGTTCACTGCAAGACGAATTTCGCGAAGGTCGTCCAAACTCAGTTGTTGTTTCGAAAACCACTGGTGCTGTGCGTGAAGTGATATTGCAAGATCGTCATGTGCCCTGTCGTGAGATTGAGACAACCTTTACAATCTGTTATATTTGTAGGGACAATAATTAAACTAAAAACTATTTACCCTACTCATACGTGGCTTCAATCATCCTAATACAGAAGTCGCTTTATATTGCACAGATACGTTATGTGATCAAAAAGTATCCGGACACGTCCAAATTGGTGTTATGGGTGCGTGTGTGTTTATTCATGGAGGGAGCTTGCCAGCCGCCTCTTGTTTTATGAGCCATTATCACCGGTCCAGGTTTACGTTGCTGTTTAAACTCCTTTCTTGCTCCACTGTTGAAGAAGCAATTCGGTGAATGGCGATTGCATCTTTCAACACGATCGAGCAACCTGTTCATACTGCGCGCTGTGGCGGAATGGTTGCAGACAACCATAACCATGTAATGGACTTGCCTGCACAGAGTCCCTGACATGGAATCCTATTGAACACCTTTGGGATGTTTTTTGGAACGCCGACTTCGTGCCAAGCCTCTCCGGCCACATCCGATACTTCTAGGCAAGCTTGTGAAAATGGCTTGCCATTCCCCAGAAACCTTTCCAGCCACCTTATTGAAAGTATGCCTCGACCAGGGAGTGGGAAGCTACCTTTCAAGGCTAAGGGTGGGCCACACCCTATTGAATTTACAGGATTATCATGGAGGGCGCCACAAACTGCCGTTAAGTAATTTTCAGCACTGAAGAGTCAGCGTGTCCGGATTCTTTCGATCACATAGTGTATGCTTACTTCTCTCCTATTTGAACGCGACGGCCCGAAAAAAAAAAGTTGTTTTGGTCAAAACTATCTTTTTTTTACAAAATTCGAGTAAATTGGTTTATAATTTAAAAAGTATTGTATTTCTCCTTTATACGCCACGTCTTGAACATAGTATGTAATAAGCATGTTTAGTTGTGACAGTATCTGACT